AGGGCAGCCGAGGCCCAGCAAGGCCGGCCACTCACCCAGAGGGTGAGTGGCACACAGAGCAGGCTGGCCAGGCCTCTACCACCCTGGCCCTCCCCGTCCTCCGGGACTTATTTTGTTTTTGTTGTTTTTTTTTTTTCTTGCGGAACCGGGGATTGAACTCAGGCCCTTGCGCTTGCCAGAGAAGTGCTTATTCCACTGAGCCATCTCCCCGGCCATTTTTGTTTTTGTTTTTGGTTTTTTTTTTTTTTTTTTCCAGGACTTATTTTGGAAAACTCTCAGGCACTGTGACCTGGTACTTTTCCCTTCTTGTCATCTTGTTTTGTGGTGAGCACTCTGCTCCCGGCTGTCCTCTCCCACTTGAATTTGGCACAGTCTCTTTGGGCCAAACAACCCCAAGTAGTAGCCGTCTACTTGTCAGTTCCCTTGCACAGCCAGGGGCTCCTTAGAGGCCGCTGCTCTCTGTAAAACGCCAGATCAGACCAGAGGAGTAACTGGCCGTACACAAAGCCCTCTCCCACAGCCCAAGAGCCACCTTCCATTGCAACCACAGCCTGCTTTGGTGGTTATTTTACAAAGTTGATGCTAATTGCTACTGCGGACCTTCGCTCATTTCATTTGCTTCCTTTCTGAGATATATTTCTTTAATTGTAGGCTTGGCTGTTAAACTAATGTGGGTTGATTGTGATTGCTCGTAATTCACTCAAGATTGCACAGGAGATATTTTAGCAATGCAAAATATTTATATATCTTAATGATTTGTGATTCTAAGTGCAATTATAAAATAATAAACTAGGCCTGGGAATACAGCTCAGTGGCACAGTGCTTGCCTGGCAAGTGCAAGGTCTGGAGTTCGATTCCTAGTTATAAAACCAAAATAAATAAACCATAATGGCTTCCAAATAGTAATTGTATATTTATCTGTATTCTTTTTTCTTGTTTTATGTATTTGGTACAGAGTCTCACTACTCTGCTCGGACTCGTACTGACCCTCCTATTTTCAGCCTCCCCAGTGCTGGGATTATAGGCATGTGCCACCACACCTGGTCTTGGTGGCTGGCTCAGCATGCCCAGGGGTGGGGCTGGAGCTAGTGCAGCATATGGTGCTGGGGATTGAGCCCTCGTCCCTGAGCTTGCCTAAGCAGGCCCTTAGTCTGCTGTCAAACTCTCTTTTGATGCTACCATGCACAGGAAGCGTTTTGTGATCCAAACTATTCCTCTTGAGATGTTTATATCACTCTGAACTCCTCATGTCCTAATTACAAGTAGCAGATGACAGAACACCAGGCAACAAGTGGCTCAGATAAATAACTGAAGATCCATCTCAGGTGTAGCTGGGTCATGGGGACTGTAGCTGTGCAGGTGGGGTCTGTTTATCTTCCTCCACCTCTCATCTCTATTTTTCCTCTCCCCTGGCCAGAAGGCTCTGCTTTTAGGGTGATCAGGCAATACTAACAGCTTTCTGGGCTACATTATTCCAGGGAGTGGGAGAAGAGTGGGGCTTGCTTCCCCAGCCTCTAAAAGTCTTGAGATGTCCTCTGGCCATCCCATCACCATGACCAGGAGGACCTGCAGGGCCAGCAGGCTGCACAGGTACTTGCTATGCCCTCTGTGACACTAAGCAGCACCATTCGTACAGACTCTGTGCCACAGTCATGGGGCCAGGGACACCCTGGCACCTTGCTGGTCTCAGTGGTTTCATCAATTAGATGAGAGTGGCAAATCTGAAGTCCCTTTCAGCCTCACCATTCCATCCTTCTGGCACTTGCTCCATTGAAGTAGGACTTTAATGGTTCAGCTCTTTCAGTGAAGAGTTTAGTTTCTTTTTGATCTGCGATTATCTCTCCTCCCCCCCAAAAAAAAGAATCAATGAGAGGTCTTTTTAAAAGAAGCAGAGAAGCCTAAGGAAATTAAGATGTAAATGTAGCACATTATGAAAATTCTCAGTTCTGGGTGGCCACTGGTTGTACTGTACTTTGGCAAACAAATTATGATGTAGCCACCACTTACTGAACATTGGTGATGTGGTTGGTGCAGAGTGTTGCACTGTACATTATACCCATCATCTGGTTTCTCCTGGCGCCAGCCAGGGAATGTATAATACTACAGCTGTTGTCCTCATTTTAAAGAGAAATAAAATAAGGCCAGGAATAGTTACAGAAGCTGTCCGTCTTGTGGAGCACAGCAGGGTCCAGATCCAAATCTGCTTGGTATGACCTTGGCCAAGGGACATAACCTGGCCAACCTCAGTGTCTTTGTCTCTAAAATAGAAGTAACAAGTGAAATTTTTAGCAAGAGCTGGGCGCATCATTAAGTCTCACAGAGGTGACAGCTGTCCTCACAGCGACACACTCAGCCCCTGGTACAAGGCTGAGGGACACAGTCCTAATGGGCTCACCGCTGAGCAGCATCTCCACTCTCACAGAGCAGCCGATGAGGGCGGGGAACCAAGTTCACCAAGCTTCACTGAAGAAGGCCGGCTGTAGAGGGGCGCCTGTCCCCCGCTCCGGGCGGATTCTGGCAGCTTCCCTCTGCTGTCTGGAATGCTCCTCTGGCCTAGGAAGATCTTTCTGAGAGCCGTGTGCTATTCAGGACTCTGCTCAAGCAGCCCGTCCCTCAAGGGGCTCCTCCCTCCCCCCTCCTGTGTTCTACACCCTCAGTCTGGCTAGTTTCTTTGTGGTGCTTCCACTTCGCACCACTACACTGAAGATGTGTTTTGCCAAATATGCTTACTAGCCATTTTCCCACCATAGTGTGAGCTTTCTGGGAGCAAGGACTTGCCCTAGCTAGTTTTTCTCCTTCCTATACCCCAGTGCATAGAAAGGCTTCCAGTGCATGTGAGACCTCTGAGCAGGATCCAGGTGGATGGTTGGCCAGGGAATGGGTGAGGGGAAAAGAGAGAGGCTTCAAGATACAGGAACAGCATGTGCAAAGGCCCAGGAGGAGGGACTGTGAGCACTGAACACAACAGATGTGTTGGCGTGGGGTCCTCTGCACAGCCGCATCTGAGAAGGAATGGCGTGTACAGGGGCTTCCCAGGGGGGTGTTTCTGGAAGTGTGGAGCGGAAGGAAAAGGAGGAGGCAGCATCGAGCTTTTGGACCACGATGCAGGGCTCACCGTGAAAGGAGCGGGTTCTAGGACCAGTTTGGCAGGCAAAGGGGGGAATCCCTGAGCCAGAGTTCTCCCCTGACAGGGGCCCCATCAGGCAGGAGTTGGCACTGTGCTGTGCTCATGGGTGTGAATGCAGTGAAGGGTCCAGGAGGGTGGACAGTCTGTCCACAGTGTTCCCTGCGCTGGAGACATCAGTGACGCAATTGCACGGCTGCCCAATAAGCAGAGAGGGCAGGGACAGCAGTGGTGAAAGGTGAGTCTGGAGAGTTGTACAGGGACCAGGTCACTAAGCGCCCTTCAGGCTGTGTTCCAGTGTTGGTCTCTCTCCTGTGCCTGAGTAGGGTTTTGTGCCAAGTGAAACAGATGGATTTGCATATCATAAGTATTCTCTGTGGCTACGGAAATCAAAACCTATTAGATGTCTAGACCGGCAGTCCGGGTTGTTGGACCTCTGGTAGGCTGACACAGTATGGTGCCTCTATGTTTTCATTTCTCATCCAGAAGCGGTTTGAGAGACACAGGAGGCATAGTCAGGGAGGACAAAGCTGTTGGAGAATGCGCCTTGTCAGGAGGGCCAGATAGGAGTCCTAGCCACTCCTGCCCAGTGGGGTTGGGTCCCCAAGCATCTGCCTGGGTCTCCTGCAGAATCGCTGTGCCACACTGCTGCAGGACGGGGAGGAGAAGGGGAAGCTGAGCCTCCAGTGCTTATTATGGCTTTTTCAGTGTTTAGCTCCCCTTGGTGGAAAAGTATGGATGTGGAAATGGGTTTAGCCCAAGGTAGGAAATCCATGTTCTCCAGTCACAGGGCCAAGTGGACAGTCGGGGGTCGGAGTTGGAGTTGGAGCTGGGAGGAGCAGGACAGAGAAGTGATGTGGCCTAGTCACTAACTGGACAGCGCTGCTGCTGGTGGTGGTCTGTGTGCTCACCCACGGGCAAGGATGAAGCCCAGCTCTACGACTTGTGGGGTGTCTTAGTCCACTTCATGCTGTAATAACAATGCTGCAGGCTGGGTAATTTATACAGAGATTTTTTTTTTTTTTTTTTTTTTTTTATGGTTCCAGAGGCTGGGAAGCCCAAGATTGAGGCTGCATTCATGAGAGCTTTTCTGCTGCTCCTAACCCAACAGAAAAGGAACAGCACAGTTCAAGCACATGTGCAAGAGAGGTGGGAGGGCGCCCAACCCATCCATCAGGAACCCACTCACAGGAGGCGAGGCGGCATTAATCTGAGAGCAGAGCCCACAGGTACTCCCCCTTCCCAGCACATCCAGAATGCACTAGGATTAAGTATGTGAAACATGAAGTTGGGACGGGGACACAGTCAGACCATGGTCAGGGCTTGGGGACAGCAGTTCCATTTCCAGCCCACGTCAAGTCCATAGCACCTTTGTGAGAATTAGAGAAAGGGCCCTCTGGGCAGAGGCAGCCGCTGGCCAGGAGTCAGCATGGGTGCCCTCTCTGACCCCTGTTGGCTGGTGACGGAAGTACAGGCCACAAACATCACAGTCACACACAGGGCTGGTACACCTGTCCAGAACAGGTGACGGGGGCCATTGATGGCTGCTTCAGACATGTTGGGTTTGAAACGTGTAAAGGCGATGTGAGATGGCCTTGTATGTTATTACTACCCAGAGGTGAGATTCACATGACACATAATTAGCTATTTCAGTGACAATGCAGCGGAACTGAGCACATTCACAATGTAATTCAACAGTCACCTCCACCCAGTTCCAACACGTTTTCATTCCCCACAAAGGAGACCCTTGCTCCGCAAGCAGTCACTTCCCACCCCCGACCCCCAGCTGCAGGCAGCTCCTGGCCTGCACTGTGTCCTGCATTTGCCTCTTCTGAATACGGACTCCTACATTATGTCTTCAGCGTCTGGCCTCTTTTGCTGATCCTGTTTGTTGGCCTTTTCAGACTGGAAGAATATGGCGAGTGGCCAGTAGACACCAGTTGAAAACAGGAGAACAAGAGGTAAGCGATGGTATCCCTGGGCATGTGGGGGAGAGCAAAGAGGAGGCGCCCAGGATGGACCGCCTTCGTATTGGCAGAGCCCTGCCTTTCAGTGAGAGGAGGGGACCCGGTGGGTGTTAGGAGATCACAGCTGCAAGTCTGATGGTGGTGGAGAGATCTGTGATGGTTCCTACTCCTGTGGGGTGGGTGAGAGGCTGGCTGCTGTCTTGGTTACTTTTCTCTTGTTGCTGGGACAAAATAGCTGATGCCCAAAATTAAGGGGAAAAAAAGTTTATTTAGCTCGCACTCTGTGTAGGTTTTAGCCCAATCATCTGGTGCTAAGGCAGGGTGGTGTGAGGGGCAGCAGTCCAAGGTGGCAGGAGGCCCAGAGAACAAGCCTCTTTTTCTCTCTTGTATTGTAAGCAGGCTACCCCACCCCCAGGGCAAGTGTAGCACTCAGGCAAGCATCCTCTGGCCCAGGATGAGGATGTTTACAAAGAAAGGGCCCTGGCCCCCTGCTGAGTTCCTTAAACTTCTAAACTTCTCAGTTTGCTGCACTGTATCAATTATTACAGCTGCCAACTGGGAGGAAGAGGAGAGGCTGGGTGTTACTGCAGGTGAAGAGAATGAAGATGACTGGAAACAGCCGCTGTAGAAAGAGAGGGCACTCCTCCCAGGGAAACAGAAGTTTTCTGGGTAAGGTTGAGGGCTTCGGTGAGGTTGGGATCAGGGAATCTGCAGTGACTCTAGTCTGTAGTGTGATCTGGTTTCATCTGGACGGCTCTCAGCAGCCCAGTGAGCGGCGTCCACACGGATCAATAAGAGCCGTGGGTGCCCTCCGGGGCTAGAGGACACAAACCTAAGCATTGAGGACAGCAGAATGTGGCACAGTGGCCATCTCTCGTCCCTCCTTCTGTCTTGTACACAGTATAATCAAGATAATTCTGTTCATAAATTAGATTTGATTGCTCCTCTGCTCAAAGCTTTCTGATACCCATCTCTCCCAGAACAAGGCAGGTCTTCATTTTGCTCCATAAACGGCCCATAATCTGGCCCCCCATCTCGCCCTGCAATCCTCTCCCTCCTTTCTTCCATGCCAGCCTCCGGTTCCTCACTGATCTTGAATCTCTCGGGCGCGGTTGCACTCCAGGGCCTTTTTCCCCGCTGTTGGGCTTCGCATGCGATGACCTTAGCAGGGCTGCTGGCTTGTCCCTTCATTTCCTTTAGTTCTCTTTCAGTGTCACCTCCTTGGAGGCATTCTCCGGCCACCAACTTTCTAAATGTTAAATGCACCCTACCTCCACCATTTGCCTTCCTCTTTCTGCTTTACTGAGCTTCAAGCATGTATTATCATCTCACGCTTGATGGACTTAAGGGATTGTCCATTGTCCACACACACACACACACACACACACACACACACACACACACAAACGGCTTCCTGAAAGCAGCTTCCTGATCATTTCTCAGAACGCACAACAGTGCCTGGCACCGACTAGCTGTTCAGCAAGTCTTTTTAAAAAAATTTTAAATGTATTAATTAAAAGAAAAGACCAAGGCCTTTGGGCCCTTGAAGGGACCTTTGACACCCCCCCACCCAAACTTCTTGTCATAGGAGAGAGGTGCCCACTGCCAGGATGTAAGGAGAGTGCTGGAGGCTGAGGGAGAAGGGATGGCACCCTGGGCCCGGGACACCTCATGCCTGGTACCCACTCTACCACAGCTTGCCCCTTGGAGAAACTGAAGCCAGAAACCAGTACCTCTTTTGGGCCCTCAGCTGTGTGTAGCCCCTGTGCTTGGTTTCTGAGAGAAATCTTGCATTTCTTCAACCAGAATAAACCTAGCGCTTTCAGAACCTCTGTCCCTGGACAAAGACTGGGATCAGTTGCAAATAACAGGAACCTGAAATAATGGTTTACACAAACCAGGGGTTTCAGTTTTCCAGAGCTTCCAGCCTAGACTAGAGGTCCTCGGGTCAGGTGAGAGGTCGCAGCCCCCTCCTGTTCTTGGTGGTTCGAGGTCCTTTTATCCTTCTACTTTCCCATCCTCAAGACTTGGGGGAGGGGCTGCTTGAGCAGAGTCCTGAATAGCACACAGCTCTCTAGGGAAGATCTTCCCAGGCCAGAGGAGCATTCCAGACAGCAGAGAGAAGCTGCTAGAACCTGCCCAGAGCTGGACAGATGCCCCTCTACACCGGCCTTCTTCAGTGAAGCTTGGTGAACTCAGCTCCCCGCCCCCATCGGCTGCCCTTGCACCACGGGCTGAGTGTGTCACTGTGAGCACAGCGGTCACCTCTGTGAGACTTAATGATGCGCCCAGCTCTTGCTAAAATTTTCACTTGCATTTTCTCACTCATTCTTCCTAAGAGCAGAATCAGTAGCATTATCATCTGTACTGTGTAAGGTCACAGGAGGGTCATCAGTCTTTCTCAGCCAGGCATGAGGAAACAGGCAGAGAGAGTTTGGAACACTTTCCACAGCTCTAGGGCCAAAACATGAGTACAGAGCCAGGCCACATCCTTCACCACGGCACTGAGCAGCTTCTCATATCTCGCCCAGGAAGTGGCGCAGGATTGTGCAAGGTGCTCTGTTCAGCTTGGTATTCTCCTAATTACCCATAAACTCCCAGCGTATTAGGGCAGGAGGACCTTTAGAAGATTTCACCCTACTCTTCACACAAGCAGGCTGAGCCAGAAGACTGGGGTGATTTGAGGCTGCTGGACGATCCACTTCTTCCCGCCCCTAACTCAGGGAGATTGGCCATGGTCAGAGGCCTGGCACTACCTACCTGAGGAAAACGTGTGGCTATAAGGAGGATTATGTAAAGAGGGGGTGTGGTCCAGGCCCAGCTGGAGCCCTGCCCTGGCGACTTCAGCATCCCAGCCACACTGGCAAGCTTGGTGGTGCTGGCTTGCTTTTGCCTCAGCACTGTCGTTCTGCTGGTTGCAATGCCAACTGGCTCCGGTGTGCCTGCCACTCCCTGACGCTTCCACAGTTCTTCTGGTGCTACTCGTGGTGCCAGGTGCTATGGCAAGGCTCAGGAGCTCCAAGACCCTAGTCATTGCCTCAGGAGAGGCTACAGACAGCCCATGATTCCACAGAAGTAGAAACCAAGTCCTAGACAGGTGACGCAACTTGCCCAACATCCTGAGGCTAGTTGGTGGCAGAACCTGAGCCAAGAGTCTGCTTGTAACTTGATGTTCCACGCTGCCTCTCTACGTCAAGACCTCTCTCTCTCTCTCTCTCTCTCTCTCTCTCTCTCTCTCTCTCTCCCCCCCACCCCCACCATCACCCCCACCCCCAGGCCCCGGCATGAGTCACCACCCCTCATTCAAACACACAGCAGCAATCTCCACCCTGAGCCTCTCTGCCTTTGCCCCTCCAGACCACTCAGCACTTGGAACACAGAGAGGGCTCTTTCCAGAAAACAAGTCAGGTCACATCACTGCCGTATGAAAAGCCACTGTTAGCTTCACCTCACCCAGTGAATGAGTCCTTGGTACTACGTTCTGGCCCCAACCTGCCTTCCCAGGTTCATTCTCAATGCATAGCTGTGCACCTCTGGCTTTTCAGCCACACAGCTCACCTTAATAGGGCCTGCTGTGGGCCTTAACATCTACACGTGTAAAGCTTCTGGACTGTAATAAGAACCCCCAGGTACTGGCTGTCACCTGAGTGGACTGGGAATTTCCCTGAGAGGTGGCTTTGACATGTGGGAGCTGATGGCCAGTAGCTGGTCTCCTCTCCAGGACATGTGCTGTTTGGTGCAGCACTTGGCCAGGTTTTCCCTTCCAGATCCTAACTATTTATTCTGGGAAAACAGGTAAATTGAAGAACCTCTGTCCACCTGCCCTACTCTCCTCATCTTTTTTTTTTAACCCCATTAAAAAAAAAAAATTGCACTAGCCAGGCAAGCACCACTGAGTTAAGGTCCTGAGTTCGATCCCTGGTACCAGAAAAAAAAAAATTTCAATAGTACCTATGAAGTAGTCAGACAGTTCATTATTATATCCCAGCCCACAGAGTAAGGGAGTCCCTGACCAATTCAATCCCACAGCCATAGCTACAGGGCTGATCCAGGACATTAGGAACGTCATGCAGGTCACAGGGGCAGAGTGGATAGGAGGGCTCTATCTGTTCTGACTACTCATTCCCACATGTAGAAGTTATAGACACACACCCAGGGGAGCAGCTGCTGGGCCCATGGGTGCAGGGAAGGCAGCTGAGGCTGGCTGCGTTAGTTGCATCAGGCTGCCATCTGCCGCTCCATCAATCCGTCCATCCACAGTATATTAATTTGGCCTCTTTCCCATGTTTATTGTTTATAACAAGACCCTGAAGACAGTAAAGAAAATCAGAAAAGCAAGCTAGCAAAGCTCACCCTGATTCTTCTAATGAAAAGATGATAAGATACAAAGAAGGGAATCTAAGTTCTCCTGTCCTTTATTATGGTTTTTTTTTGTTTGTTTGGTTTTGTTTTTGTTTTTGTTTTTGTTTTTGTTTTTGCAGAACCAGGGATTGAACTCAGACCCTTGTGCTTGCCAAGGAAGCACTTACTGCACTGAGTCCTCTCCCTGGCCCCTAATGGTTAATTTTTTATCTTCCTAAAGATTTCAAAAGATGGAAAAGTATGAAGAAAAAGCTAGCAGTCACCCAACTTCCCATCACCTAGTCCAATGAACATTAACCTTTTGACATATTTGCTTTCAGGTTTTTGTTTTGTTAGGAAACAGAATGGCCCAGGTCCAATGGAAGTTGCCTCCCCCGACCTCATCCCACTCCTTGTCTCTCTGAGCTCTCTGCAGCTTGCATACAGTCCTTGGCAGGGCTTAGACTTACCCGACCCCTAGCGCTGCATCCCACAACTCACAGAGCTCAATAAGACTCTGTGGGCAAATAAAAATTAGAAAAGTTTTGGATTTTATTTGCATGATAGCATGCTGATGCCTCCTTTTGCAACTTGCTTGTTAACTTTATTGGGTTTTTAGAGTTATGTGTGTAAAACCTGCTGGTTGTAACAAGCCAAACCGCACAGAGGGGGATAAAGGAAGTTAACTCTTTACCGGCCTAGCCCCAAGCCCACTTATCTGCACATGCAACTATTGTTAACAGTGTAACATCTTTCTGCACCCTTTCTTTTGCTTGCACAAATTTGCATGGTGGCTCAATGCTGGGAAAGGATCCAAGGAAAGTTCAGGAAAGGCTGGAGCTTGCAGGAATAGTACCGGGTGCGAACATGGCCTCTCGTGCGGCAGTGGTTAAGAGGAACTGCAGTCAGAGGCCATGAGGGACAATGCACAACTTCCTCTGTGGTTAGCCGGCAACCTGCAGGCTTCCCCACTCATACCTGCTCTTCACAGGCCCTGTGTGCTGAACAGGTCCAGGCCAGCAGATAAGCAGCATCCCTGCTACTAAGTGCCCTCGGGCTGGGCCATAGCAGGGGCTGACGCTGGTGAGTGAGGCAAACCATGTAACCTGTGCAGTAAATGGATCCAAGGCCTCTGATGTCCTTCCCAGTTGGCCATTGTCAACCAGATGCTTCTAGCAAAGAGTTGACTGGGGGGTCAGGTGTGGGAGACACCTTGAGATGGTCAAGCTGATACAGCCCCCAAAGAGGTCTTTGAGGATAACCCAAGACCAGCTTCACAGGGATCTGACTGCTCTGCAGATGGGGGATGGGAACTCAGAATGCCAAGGTGTGTTGTTATATTTGCTTTTAAAAAGTGGAATAAGACTAGACATGCTATGTTTTAAGCTAGATAGGAATGATTTTGCTTTGCCTTGCCAAAAAAAAAAAAAAAAAAAAAAAAAAAAAAAAAAAAAAAAAAAAAAGAATCCAATAATTAGAGCTTAAAACGTTTGTTCAAAATTAGTTTCAAGTCGCTGCAAAGCAATGAGAGACACTGAATGTGATACTTGGGTCAGGTGCTGTCTGGGAAGCCTGCTCAGCTTTTAGCTCCGGAGGCCTTCAGAGTGCTTGCTGGGATTTACAGATTGAGATTTGGAATAATCTCTAAGGTACTGTCCCATTATTAAATTCAGTAATTCTGCCTCCCTCTCCCCTGATTCATCCATTCAGCAACTTTGTTTTCCTGAGTGCTGATTATATGTGGGTCATTGTTCTGAGAATCTGGGAATATCAGTAAAAACCCACACAAACCCCCACCCTCATGGAATCAAGAACTTCTTATAAATCTCAAAACACAATGATTTCCACTTTACTTCTGTAATTCAGTCTTGGGCCTTCAAAGTGAATGGGCCCGAGGCACCCTCACTCCAGGGGTTAGGATGGTGCAGGCCCCAGAGGCAACTTCTCTGTGGGCTTCTCCTGTGCTCTTGGCCCTCTTTCCCCACAAGATAAGGATAATAGTGAAACTTCTCCTTCCCCAGTGCAGGTCATGGAAACTAGAGCTCTTTCTCCTCAAACCTGGCTGTAAGACCTAAAATAGTACTCTTTCTCCTACTTTCTAAGAGTTAACCATAAACAAATTCTTTGAACTACCTTGTCTAATAGTAGACCATTCGATTCCACTCCAGAGCGGGTCCTGTCCCACACCCAGAAGGCAGGGGTGCTGCACAGGCCTCACTGGGTGTCCCCACGGGGCCTACTACTTTAGGCGCCCCTCTCTGTCTCTACTTAGCTGTGATGCTTCATCCAGGATAAGCGTGGAAGCGGATAGCTCGCTCTGCCTGTTGGCTCTTCATTCTGAGCAGCCTGTGCCACATAAAACTAGGACTGAACGAACTTTCTGTGCTTTTCTCTGTTAACCCATCTTTTGTTATAGGGATGTCACCCAGGGCCTTTTCCACGGGCAGAAAGGGGATCATAGCGCTTTTTACCCCTATAGGTTCCTTCAAACTAAAACGACTCTTTCACACACCATTTTTTCCTTTTTCTTCTTTGGTATTGGTTCCAACTGCAGCAACCTGCAGCCCTATCTGGGCTGGGTACTGACCCCTCCTCAGACCCAGGCAAAAGACTTCCTGCCCCTTCTCTCAGTGCTACCAATGCCAGATCCAGGCACCCCTTGCACCACCCAGAGAAGCCTTTCCTGGACACTTAATAAATTGCCCACAGCGCTGGATGCCCCAGCTCCAGGCTCCTGGCCAGCATTCTTCAAACTTCTTTCATCAGCAATGAAAGAAAGGGCTGTGTAGTGTTGCAGTCAAAGCCTTTTACTCTTTCCTTCCCAGAGCTGTGAAATCCCTCAGGGGCTGTGGCCTCTCTCCTGCATCAACCACCATCAGAATTATCCACCATCAGCAAGCATTTGGACCCTGCAAGTGGACCTGTAGGCCAGCAGGGGGCTTCCAACAATCTCAAATTGGTAGCACAGGCATGGTGGATTATCTGAATTTAATCTCTTTTTAAAAGATACCGTTTCCATTTTACCATATATATTATAACTTTCAGGTTTTATTTATTCTTTCAGGTTCTTACACTAGGGAGACAATACAATATTTACACATGTAGGTCTGATTTATTTCACTTATGAGTATAGCCTCTAGTTACGTCCACTTATCTATGAAGGCTTCGAGTTTGTCTTTCTTTATAGCTGAGTAATGCTCTATTGTATAAAAATACCACATCTTTTTCATCCATTCCTCAAGTGATAGGCATTTTGATTATTTCCAAGATTTGGCTATCACATCTTACTGTTATAAACATGGGTGTACATATATCACTATGGTATAATGTTTTCAGTTCTTTTGGGAAAATACCCAGAAGGGGGATGGCTGGATTGATATTTTTTATTTATTTTTGGTACTGGGGATCGAACTCAGGACCTTGTGCTTGCCAGGCAGGTGCTTATGCCACTGAGCTATTTCCCCAGCCCTGGATAGCTGGATTGAATGGGATTTCCAGTCCTACTTTTTTGAGGAGTCTCCACACTGATTTCCACAGTGGTTGTACCAGTGTCCATTCTTACCAGCAGTGGAGAAGGGTTCCTTTTTCCCCACAGCCTCTCCAGCATTTGTTATTAGTTGATTTCTTTATGACAGCCATTCTTTCTGGGGTGAGGTGGTATAATAGATATAGTAAAACGGAAATAAATTGAACTTAAGGATTAAACAAGAAAAATGAGAGAAAGGAAAAAAGGTAGGAAAAAAGGGGGAAATACATGTAAGTACATATACAAGGTGGCTGAGCTGATTGTACTAATAATGTCCATCAGTTTTTTGGAAATAGCAATTAATGTTTACAGTTTTCACCTTGACTGACTCTGTATCCTGGTATCCGCGATCTGAGCAACTACATCGAGGACAGCAATGTGTAATACAAAACCCATGTTTGAATACCTCTCATCTTGGTCTTCTGAATATGTACCATTTCTAATGTCTTATAAATTATTATACTGTCTTTAAAATAAATTTTAAAAAACAAGGCAAAGGGGCCGGGGAGATGGCTCAGTGGAATAAGTGCTTCCCTGGCAAGCGCAAGGGCCTGAGTTCAATCCCCGGTTCTGCCAAAAAAAAAAAAAAAAAGAAAACAAGGCAAAAAATTAAGATTTCTTGAAAGCAAGTATTAATATTCAATTATTTGTCTAATCTTGCATGAAATAACTATATCTGTTAAGCTGAGCAACAGATTTGACAATAAAAATAGATAATATAACAACCACTGTTAATTAGATTTTTTTTTCTTTGCATTTTAGGGAAAGGTCTAAAGGTTGTTCAGGGTCTCACTACTAGATTAGACATTGTGATCAACCTGTTTACAGCCTCTCAAGAGCTGGGATTACAGGCTCACGCCACCATGCCCAGTCTCAATTGCCCTCTCAGTGTGACCCGGGGGCGGGGCTGGCATAACAGGCCCTGGAATCAAATCCCTGGCCCCTGAGCCTGCTTGCAGGCATTTTAATCTGCTGAGCTATTTGGCCAACCCTAATTAGCTATTCCTGTTTTGAAAATCTGTAACATATGTATTGTTGTATGCTACCCTATTTCTGTCTTTTTTCTATTTGTTTTTGCTTCTGTTTTTACTCTTCAAAGTAAAATAAAATTGAATTTTAAAAAATTAATGAAATAAAAATAAAGGGCCGGGGAGATAGGTCAGTAGAATAAGTGTTTTCCTGGCAAGTGCAAGGGTCTGAGTTCAATCCCCGGTTCTGCAAAAAATAAATAAATAAATAAAATAAAGAATATTCTGGGTATCAAATTTTAGGATCAGGGGCCAGGGAGATGGCTCAATGTAATAAACATTTGCCTGGCAAGCACAAGGGCCTGAGTTCAACCCCCAGTTCCACCAAAAAAACCCCAAAATTTTAGGATCACAAGTATATATATTTCATTAGCTAAAACAAGGAAAACGATCATATATTCTCACTCTATCCAAAGGCTCCAATATACCCTGTTAATCACTGAAACAAACCATCTTTATTCTGATGGTTCCTGTGTCACGTAAGGCTAGGATTGCTCTCTTATATAACAAGCCACTAAGGAGCTCTGAATAACAGAATCAGCAATAGCAGCAGCACTTGGGAACTTGTTAAAAATGCAAATTCTCAAAAAAAAAAAAAAAAAAAGCCTTGCCCCAGACCCACTGAAGCAGAAGTTCTGGGATGGACTCCAGCAATCTGAATTTTAACCAGACTCTCATACATACCGAGGTTAAAGAAACACAGATATAAAACATTTAACAAGTGTCCAATTACCATTTAGTAAGCTGATTGGTTGGTACCTTTGTGTGCATGATAGTAACAGTAGGTTGGATTATTAGATATGAACGAAACTTTCCTCCTTCATGACAACACAATATAAAAATAATGACTAATTTGTTAAGGATTCAAAATTAAGCATAGAATGCACATAAATAATTACAGACATGATGCACAAGATGTGAGGACAGCTATGTTTTGTCTCTTAGTTTTTTGTCTCTTGTGATGTTTTCAATTTTGAATTTTTCTTCTAATTTACAAATTTTACTTTATTTTTATCTTTATTAGTATATGTTTGCTGTACATGATTACATTCATTGTGGCAGTGTACAAGTTTTTAAAATTTTCTTGGTCTGACCAAATAGCTCAGCAGATTAAAGGGCCTGCAAGCAGGCTCAGGGGCCCAGGGTTCGATCCCAAGGCCTGCAATGCTGGCTGTGCCGCTGGGGCATGCTGGGCGTGGTGGCACACACCTGTAATCCCAGCTCTTGGGAGGCTGTAAACAGGCAGATCACTATGAGTCGGATCTAGTAGTGAGACCCTGAACATACTGTAGACCCTTCCCTAAAACACACACACACAAAAAAAAAAAAAACAATTCTTAGGCTCCTTTATTCACAGCATGTCAAATGCCTTTCAGGACCACGTCACTACAGGAAGCATGGAAGAATAAGAGGTGCCTCTGTCAGAGTTGAGATGCTCTAACGTGTGTCTTCTACTCTCCCAAAAGTTGGTGGGGGGAGCAGAGATTATGATGGAATATTTTGGATTCACACAATAAATTGGAGGAGAAATGTTACCAGGTCTGGACAGCGCGCTTCTGGAGAGTGCAAGCTCAGGCAGCGGTGGGTGTCTAGCTGGAGGGGAACAGGGGATCTCTCTCCTGTCCATGCTTAGGGACTCAGGGCAGGAGCAGCTCCTGCTCCCTGGGGCTCCCAGGTACACCCAGCCCTCCCTTCACATTCTTCTTGTGGGCCACAAGGAACACTAGGTAAGACTTCATCCTTCATCTGCGCTTGAGTGCTTGAACGGGGAAGCAGGAGAAGAACGCAGTCAATTCCCTGGGTCACAGCGAGGCCTGTGGTATCCACGGGTGGAAGGTCGGGGCTGATGAGGACGTGGAGGTTGGCTGGCCTCTGTGGGCCTCCAGCGCAGGGAGCTAGAGCTGCAGGCCGCAAGGGAAAGCCTAAGGACACAGGTCCTTAATCCCCTGGGAAAGACAGTACTCACAGCAAAATGCTGCTCATTATTTGTGTGTTAAACAATGATACATTGTGCCCTTAATTTTTTTTTTTTCCCAGAACCAGGGATTGAACTCAGGCCCTTGCGCTTGCCCGGCAAGCGCTTATTCTACCGAGCTATCTCCCCAGCTCCTGTGCCCTTAAAATTTTTGTTAAGCCAGTGGGTCATTTGTAAGTCATCTTACCACAATAATCTTGAAATAAAACAAAAGTATGATTTCAGTCTTGATTATTAAAAATAACCACTGTGTTGCATTCTTAGGAGATGCTTTATCAAGACACTCCCATGCTCCTCTCTGCCCATGGGACGCGGCACAGTGAGGAAGGCCTCTCCCGAAGCTGCTGTTGTCGGTGTGAGCTCTGGAGGTCAGGGAGCATGGAGGGGTCTTCCTGGCCTCTAGAGTTCTTCGATCTGGGTCAACACCTTGCTCTCCCTCCATGGAGGTGCTGGGTAAATGGGAGGCTGCAGTGGCTTCTCTAGAGGAAGAATCAGTGGTGCTGGGCTTTTAAAGCTCATCCTGGGGAATTCGTGCTCATTATTTGTGTGTTAAACAATGATACATTGTGCCCTTAATTTTTTTTTTTTTCCCCAGAGCCTGGGATTGAACTCAGTCCCTTGCCTGTGTCCTCCCATGCCTGTGTCCTGTTAGGAGGAGCTTCTCTACTCCCATGAACAGCTAACAGTTTCCACTTCTAAAGTCTTGGCTCTTGTCCTCTGCAGAGTCCCTGGAGCTTTGAGCTGTGGGAGGCTCTCTGGGATCCAGGGCAGTAGGTGGTGGGCAGCCACTGCACTGCTGCCTGCTCTCCTGGACCTAGGAACACGGCTTTCTGGCCCTGTGTAGGCCCTAGGGTTTCCCTCTGGGCCTGTGGAGACGGAGCCAGCTCCACTGACGGCTCCTTTGGGCTTTCCACCAGTGGTATGAGGATGCTCCCAGCTGGACAGATCAATTTTATTTTACTTTTTTAAGGAGAAATACGATTCTTGTCTGAGTGTTCTAAAGCAAATTTATGCCTGTTACTGAGGATAACTGCAGGAGAACCCCACCCCTTGCCAGTTCTGAGGCATGAGGGAAGCACCCCAGGGAAGGGGGCGGCCTGAAAAGAAAGAAGGAAAGTCCTCTGAGGGAGGCAGACACTCTCCCTGGCCAAACCATAACAAAGAGGGAGACACAAGGGACAAAAACAAAATGGAAAGGGTTCGTGTTACCACAGGCAAGTCTGCCAGGACTTGGTAGGGTCTGTGGGATTCAGAGAAAGTGGGCCAAGCAGTCAGGACTGTAGGCCAAGGTGTTACGTACAGTTTGTGGTCAAACACGGAGCCTTTACTGTGCTTCCGTCAGAGCTGGAGCCCGCCAGAGAACTGAGGAGAGTGAAAACCCCACAAGT